ATTTCCTCTTTCCGTTGAGGCACTAAAAGATATATCACAAGATAATTATGATGAGAAGCCTCACCACAAGCAAAAGATGTTAAAAACAGATATTTCAAAGCTTTCTCAAAAGTTTACAAAACTAAGATAGAAAGATGTGCTACAGAAACATTTAATAAGTGCTGACTCATTTTAATTAAACTACAGAGAAACATTGTTATTCTGGCTTAAAACGTTTTTCCTGAATGTCATGTTGTACATAATATTCTTTAAAGACTTTATCCTATTTACTGAATAACATTTAGTGAATAAAGTTAAAAAACGACAGCAAAATATCTGTTCTGAAGATGTATTACTATATCAACACCAAAATCAAAATTATATTACATAATAAATAAAAATAAGTCAGAGTTTTAGCCTCACCAATGAAAAAGCTGCAAATATGGCCATTAGAGTTAAAGGGAGTCGATATCATTGGTGATGCTGGAATCATCAGGTTCATGTTGCTGTAATTGTAGATTTTGTCCCATGAGGTGATGCTGATGTTGGAATCTTCCATCACTCAATGGGAAAGAAAGCAGAGGTATAAAATCTGTTAAAGCAAAACACAGCTGAGCACAAATAGATATCTGGCCTCAGTAATATGAAATCACAATCTGTCTGTAGGCATCAAGCTAAAACCATTCAATTCTTAAAGGTTATTTATTTTTATTTATTTATTCTTAGGACTGACTTAATTCAACAGAGGTCCAGCCAATTGGTGCCAAAAGTCTCAAAATGTTTGGAATGGAGATCAGCTGAGTTCAGTGAGTGTGACTCAGGTGATTGTTTCATTAGACAGCTGAGTTTGGAAAGTCAATCCACTGGATCTTATTTGTCATTATTTTATACAAATCGCTTCTGATTATCATATTGAAGTTTATTTTTTATTTCTTTATCAAAAAGGCCAAATTTATTTATTATGACTGATTTGTAAAAGCAACAAAAATGGCAACACATCATCCTTTTCAGAGGATGAATTATTTAATTATTTAATTATTTTATATCTTAAGTAAATTTGTTTGGTTTCCAGTTGAATTGTGTCATAATAGATGAAAGACTTTTCATGATTTCATCTCAAAACCTGATTTAAACTGTTTACATGTAAATATTTTGATGAAACTATGAGTAGTATTTAATAAATGTAAAAATAATTAGTTTGATAACAAAGACTCTTTTTTCCAGTTAGTGGTCAGTCAGTAATCATTAGAATAAAAAATTTAAATCTAATTTTCCATAATAAATTGAAGAATTTTTATAACTTTATTTACATATGAATTTTCAGCACTTTGCAGTAGTGATTTAAAATATATATTTTATGGAGATAGCAACATATTGCAAACTTTTTA